CGGAGGACACCACTGGCTCTAAAGTCCCATTTCTTCTGAGATTCCCCAACCGCCCCTTTGACCCTCTCCCAAATCTTGAAGAAAAATGATGCAGTTGTGATTCAAGGGAGAAGTTTGCAAAATGAGAAATCACTGTTTTATATAACAGGTACATTATTAGTGTTTGCAGATTAATTATTGAATGCGAGGGAACAAAACAGAAGTGAGTTTTTACATTTCTCAGTGCTATCTGTCCTTCATCTGAAGTTTCTAACCCCAGCCACCAAGCGTAGAGTGGCAACACTTTGTGCTCGTCCTTCGTAGACAAGGAAGCAATCCCAGCACCCACAACGGAGTCTTGGAGGCAGGTTGTCAGGAGCCCCACGGACATCGTTGTCAGGTTAGTTAATCTGAGGATGAGCCGCGAATTGTTTTTTTATTACTATATTTGTCTTATTAACTATATTGCCTACTGATAAATATCTCTGGCCCTGACTGATACGTCTTGCTGGGGAGACACTGATCAATAACTTGCGTAGAGGAAGTATCTTCAGGAAGTCAGGCAATTTCTCCGGTTAGAGAGATTCTTCTTCTAGCAGGTCAATGATCTCATGACTCATCTCTTCTGCAAAACTCATTAGAACAAACTCATTAGTTCATCCTGCAATTTTAATGTACAACAGATGTGGTAAAAAGGTATCCTGCAAACAAATAATGGAGTTCTTCCTCAATTGAAGGGGGAATAGGTTAATGTTTTTAATCTTCTCAGTTGCTCTCCTTCCAGAAATTTTTCTTAGAACTGTTATGAGCGAGCCCTAACCGGCAGCCGGATACCTGAACAAGAACGAATGCGTGTTAGCGGAAAAGCACAGACACTCCCAACGTCGAAATGGCTGTCTTTTTTTCAGGAGCACGTGCGCTCGTGATTACAATTTTTGATTGTGTGAATTTTCTCCTGGAAAAAAAAAAAATTGTTCCTGGTTTGCAAGATGGGATTTAATGTAACAATCGTTCTCGGTCTCCTACAGAGAGAGCCCTGGCTTCCCAGCGCTCTGATAGCCAGCCAAAGTTGTAAGCCACAGCTCTGGGTCCTGGGGGATGGTGGTAGAGGGGCTTTACAAACGGAGGTTTGGAGAGATGACACGAGGGTCAGTTGAAGGGAGGAGAAGATTAAGTGGGCTTAGGGATACAGAGGGTAGCAGCGTGCCCCCTGCTGGGGGCTCCTCAGGGGCGCCCCTCAGTCAGGGAGAGTTGGGAGCTGGTCCCCCAAATGGGAAGAATGTCCACACCCGGTTTTATGAAGTGTCAAGATGCACAGTAAGAGTCCCTGACCCTACAGAGCATTGTTCACACACACACACACAGATACACACACACACAGAAGAAAAGAATAGGAAGAAGGGGCCAATAAAAATCTTTAAAAGTATTGTCTATGTCAGCCCTACAATTTTCTCTCTTTTCAGTAAATGTAAAAAAAGCTCAGGGGCACGTGGGTGGCTCAGTCGGCTGGGAGTCCGGCTTCGGCTCAGGTCACAATCTTGCGGTTCGTGAGCTGGAGCCCTGTGTTGGGCTCTGTGCAGACAGCCCAGAGCCTGGAGCCTGCTTCGGATTCTGTGTCTCCCTCTCTCTCTGCCCCTCCCCTGCTCATGCTCCGTCTCTCTCTCTCTGTCAAAAATAAACATTAAAAAAAATCTTTTTATTTATAAAAAAAAAAAAGCTCAAACATTCATTCCTTGGCAGCATAGGTGAATTGCTCATGTATCAAATTCTTAGCTTCACGTCCTGAGGGCCAAGGCGAGCTAGCTTCTTGCAGTCAGGTCCACAGAATATTAGAGCTCTATGCAACCTTGAAAAGTCATGTTTCACTATAATCCTCTGCCCTATACATCCCTCCTTCCTGTGTATGGAGGAAATAACTGTTCCCTCCAATAGCACTTTGCACACTACTTAACTGTCAGGTGGGACTACCACACCACCTTGTGGCCAAAATCTAAAAAATGCTGAACACAAACAAAAACAGCCCCCGTTCCACTCTTCCTTGGAAATTCGTTTCTAGTAATAGTTTACTTTCTCAAGACCACATGAAACCTTTTGAGAATAATATTCCCTGTTTTATATATGCCTATCATAAAAACATTATGGACTAAAAAAGGATAAAGCTTATGTAATTGAGTCTGTAGACATCAGTCGTACGTTTTTGGCTCAATTTTATGCTTTGGGCTCAGGGAACTGGCAAGTGGGTGGAAACGGAGGTCAGAATTGCAACGTGAATGGCTTTAATGTCTTTCTCTGGTGCCAGGCCAACCTTAAGCATCAGTGCTTACGGTGTTGTTCTGACTTCCGTGTGATCCTAAGGATGCTCTTCTCAATGTCAATTAGACAGTGGCCAAAAAGGCAGTCCTCCAAGTGGCCCCTGTATGCTTTTGGTCACACACACGCCTTTGACAACATCCTCACACCCCCGTGTTCCTCCTGCCCACATGTCAAATGTACGCAGTATTGGTTCTTATGTGGCAAATTAAAGTTTATCTACAGGTTAGCCAGAAGTTTCAAGCTCTTTCATAGGAAGCTGCAAAAGTATGTTAGTACTTTACTTTCTACATTCCAGCCCATCATAGTTTAGTGGGTGTTTTTTAAAAGTACAACTTTGGGGCACCTGGGTGGCTCAGTCGGTTAAGCGTCTGACTTCGGCTCAGGTCATGATCTCGCTGTTCCCGAGTCTGTGTCCTGCACTGGGCTCTGTGCTGACAGCTCAGAGACTGGAGCCCACCTCAGATTCTGTGTCTCCCTCTCTCTCTCTCTCCCCCTCCCCTGCTCGCACTCTGTCTCTCTCAAAAATAAAAAAATAAACATTAAAAAAATGTTTTTAAATACAACTTAAATCGGGGAAGACTTTACTTAGAAATGTGTTGAAGTCACATTCTTCATAAGAGATTTGGATCTCTGTCCTTGCGAAGTTTTTATAAACTAGACCTAGATTTCCTCCACATGTAAATCTAGAAGCATTCAAGGTTCAGAAGCTTGAAAATCTAAGGGTGAGGAGAGTTCCCTCCAACCCTGTAGGATAAGCTCCTGCAAGACGCCCTGAGCAGGAGAAATCTGGGATTATCAGCACTACTTGCGAGGGAAATGAAGGACTACCGAGTTTACAATCGAATTCTCTAAAGACCTTTTGGAAAACTGTTCACCCCAAATAAAATTAGAATAATACTTCAGCTGGGGCACCTGGCTGACTCATTCCGAGGATGCAAGTGACTCTTGATCTTGGGGTCATGAGTTCGAACCCATGTTGGGCGTGGAGATTATTTAAATAAATAAATACATGCATACATACACAAACAAATGTTTAAAAAGAACATTAATTTTTAAAAAGTATTCATAAAAAAAGTAATACTCTAGCTAAATCTGACATTTTGCATATACTGGATGAGTTACGTGATTGGAGGACATTTACAGTCTCTTCTTCTCAGAACCTTTTCTATGATCTCTTCTTCTCTGGTGTCCATGAGATACGTACAAATCGTGTTTACTTGTGGATGACACACCCAAGTGTGGCACTTTACCACTAGGTTTGGCCCTCTATCCTGGCGTTCAAGTGTTAGGATCTGGAGTGAACTCTCAAAAGAAAGGTGAAATACTTTACTTTTGACCGACCAATGCAGCCAATTAGGTAATTCTGAGACTTTCCTCTCTAAAAACAGTCTCTACTTTTCCTGTGACAGCTGTAAGCCCTCTTACATATGACAAAAGTCCCACTGTCCTGACCGGTCTCGGGAAAGAGGTTCCAAAGGCCCTTTATCTTCCTTAATAGAAAGATTTTATGGCAAGTCTTTTGCCATCGAGAAAGCAAGGCGGGTCAACCAGCGGTTCTACTGGAGCCGAGAAAATTCAGCCAGGGTTCTTGTTCTCACCACTTCTGCTCCAACGGGCATGATCTGACCCGGAATTATGGCCTGAGGATGTGCCACCGGGGTCTCCATCAGGACGCAAAGGACCCAGGCTGCATGAAGCTGGATTAAGTGGACTTCATGAAATGGGTCATCCATTGTGTCTATCTTAATGCTAGCTCTTTGAACATAAAATAAAAATATTTCAACTAAAAAAAAAAGATTTCACGGCAAAAGTGCTGTCAGTTTTAACATTTCTATTCTCAACTCCCCAGTCCCACTTTTCTTGTTAACCCCTGGGACTGACTACTGACAGACTGAAACCAAAAATTATCACTGCTGCCAAAAGTTAGAAGCAAACAAAGGGAATGTGTGGTTGGAGGGTCACTGAATCAAACACGAAGGACCGAAGAACCAGAAGGAGACACGCTGAGCTCTGCCCTCCACAAGCTGAATGTTACGGTAAAATACTTACAACACGCTTGGTGCACAGCAGCCAGGACTGTGATTCTGGGACACTAAGTTGATAAACACATACTTTGTTTTTCCATTGGCATTGATAAACGTATACTTTTTCAATTGGCGTATTTTAAACTGCTTTTGAAAAGTGAACCTTTTCTGCCATTTGTTTTATACAAATTCAAGAACTATGAGATGAATTAGTTTAGTATACAAAATTTTAAACCTTGACAGAATCTAAGGATCATGTAAATACCCAACTGTGATCATCTGCACTTTACATTTCTAAAGGTTAAGAATGATTACTATTTTAGCTAAAATAATATTTGAGGGGCAAAGTTCACCAACCTGGGTATATCGACGTAAACTACAATGAAGTCTTTAGAGAATGACTTTTTTATTGGCATTAAAGTTCGCATGAAACACATACCCAAATTATGATGAAGCTGGAAAGGAATAAAATACGCCTAACTATACATGTGAGATACAGTAATAAAATCAAAGACTTCAGAAAAAATTTACTGGAAGACATCTAAAAAGACTTTTGACAAAACAAAAATGAAAAAAAAAAGAATCACTGACATGATGAATATTTGTTTAATTTTAGGAACTCGTGATGAGGAATAAGACCTATTTCTTTACACTCTGAACAATGTCCAGCTGTGAGCATCTCTGACCTGTGTCTCACTGCCTGGCTCGCAGATCTCAGGCTGCCACATGCTTGGCCGGGTAGCCGGGTAGCTTCTCTGCTCTGAAATTCCCTCCGGGTGTGGAATAGTCCCAGGGCCGGCGGTTCTCCGTGAACCCGTAGAGCTTCCGGAGCGCCACGCGAGCAGCTTCTTCTTCCGCAGCCAGCACGGTCTCCCCAGGTCCCTCCGCAATCAGCTTTCTATCACTAGACAGAACACCGAGAGTAGTCTGAAATTATCCGCGCATCATAAGACATGGGCCACAAGCCTGTTATGGTTTCTGAACCTTATTTTGGCAAGAATATCTGTCAGGAGTAACACAAGAGCTTTGTATGTAGTATCTTTTGAATAGTAGGGTTTTGTACGAATTCCTTATATACAGTAGTTAGAAAAGAAATATTTACATTTCCATACAAATATCAACAACTTAGTAGGTCCAATATTTTTTTTCAATTTTTTTAAATGTTTATTTTTGAGAGAGAGAGACAGAGAGAGACACAGCACGAACAGGGATGGGGCAGAGAGAGAGGAAGACACAGAATCTGAAGCAGGCTCTAGGCTCTGAGCTGTCAGCACAGAGCCTGACGCAGGGCTTGAACTCACGAGCCACGAGATCATGACCTGAACCAAAGTCAGACGCTTAACTGACTGAGCCACCCAGGTGCACCCAATATTTTTCAAATCAAAAACCAAGGTACATCTAGGTAAATATGGTTTTGTTCTGTTGTTGTTAGTGATGAAAGAATATATAAAAATCTTCCTACAAAAACTCAAAACTATTAAAACTAAATTCATGGAGGGTGCCTGGTGGCTCAGTCGTTAAGCATCTGACTTCGGCTCAGGTCATGATCTCATGGTTCGTGAGCTCGAGCCCTGCTTTGGGTGAACATGAGCCCGTTCTGGGTGAGTCCCACTTTTCCCTCTCCCTCTCTCTCTTCTCCTCCTGGGGTTCTCTCTCTCTGCCCCTTGTTGACTTGTGCCCTCTTTCTCAAAAACAAAAAAAAAGACTCTTCATGGAAAATTGACATTATTTTTAATTTATCTTGAACCTGTAATGTGAGGAAAAATTTTACGGAACTAAATTGTGCCTTTCTGGTTTCTCCTCTAAACTTTAAAACAAATAAGATAGTAGTTCTATATATATACTTTTTAAAGTTTTATTTATTTTGAGAGTGTGCACACATTGAGGGACAGAGAGAGGGAGGGAAACAGAATCCCAACCACAGAGCTTGATCTCATGAACCATGATATCACGACCTGAGCCAAAATCAAAAGTCAGACGCTCAACTGACTGAGCTACCCCGGTTCTAGATTTTACAATAGAGCTTTAGATCTTTAAAACTTGCTAAGATCTAAAAAAAATTTATATATTATAATCCACTTTAATTTATTCCCAAAGGATACTGAAGTAGCACAGTGAACACTTAAGCCTATTGGTGTTCTATTAAAACCAAATTACAACAAAAATAGGTATTCTGCTTTACTGATATCTGTCTTACTATAACTAGCAATCTCTTCTCCAAAAGTGTAAAAAATGATCCAGCAAGGGAGGAAAGGATATGCACTGAACAAGTGTGGTATGGATGTGCTACTTCTCAATTATCTTTAACTACTTCCTGGAAATTTCCTGACCCCAAACTGGACCTATCCAACTAAAAGAAGCATCTCTGAAAATTTCATGAACAGCAACTCCACTTAGTAGCTTTGATTCAATATAAATTGACCTGAAAGCTAAGGAAGACTCAAATCAAAGAAAGACAAGCAGAACTGTGCAGATAAAAGAAAAACAATGTGGAAGGAATTTGCTCAGAAACACTTGCTGTGGTAATAATATGGAATGAAACAAAGCTTAATCATATAGGTTACACTTTACCATAATAATTACACAGCACATATTTGTACAAAATAAAGGATAGAGAAAATCATCTAAGTGAATTTCAACTATACAATGTTTATTTATCATGTTTCTACCTCAATGATGGTGGCAATGTATCACTGTTCATTTTTTTAAAAACCATTATGCAAAATCTAGGTTTTGTCCTAGATAATAATAATAATTATTAATAATAATTCTACTACCTGATGACAATAATTTTAGTAACAGGGCAAACTCCTTTTTTTGTTTAAATATAAGAGATCATTCTTCAAACTTGCCATATATCATTAAAAATCCTTTAAGAACATCACCTGTCCTAGCTGTACTATATTCCATCATGTGTATCTGTCATTTCCCTCTTGCTGGATACCAAAGTTTATACTAACTTTTTGCCTTATTTAAAAACTATTAGCTCAACAACTGTTTACTGACTATGTCAGTTCCTATGTCTTAGAAACTGTTGTAGGTATGGGGGATAAAGGGTAAACCACAAATGAACACCTTTGTTTACACATTTTGATGTCCAGAAGGAGACACACCCAAAAGTGAGAACACCAAATCAAAGAACGTGAAAAATTTAAAGACTGTTGGCGTTTTGTCAGAATTCCGAAATATTGCACCACTCTGTTCTTCTGCCAGGAGTATATGAACTGCAGATAAAGGACGTGTTTAAGACTTTTCAATCTGATAAGCAGAAGTATCTCATCATTGTGCTGTGCGCTTCATGTTGAAACTTTTTACATTATCCATTTTCTCCTTTGTGATGCCTTCCATCACCTTTAACTTAGAAAATTCTTCGTCATATAAAGATTAGGAAAACACTTACCTAATTTAAAATTTTTTTTTTTTTTTCAACGTTTATTTATTTTTGGGACAGAGAGAGACAGAGCATGAACGGGGGAGGGGCAGAGAGAGAGGGAGACACAGAATCGGAAACAGGCTCCAGGCTCTGAGCCATCAGCCCAGAGCCCGACGCGGGGCTCAAACTCACGGACCGCGAGATCGCGACCTGGCTGAAGTCGGACGCTTAACCGACTGCGCCACCCAGGCGCCCCCATTTACCTAATTTAATCAAGGTCGCTTATTCAATCAGTGTGAGGCAAGTCAACTGTTTACTCACAAAACTAAGACCTGTTCAACGTGGGTTGATTTATATATTTTGATGGACAACTAAACCCTTCCTTTTCCAGTCCTAGGCTCAGCTGAAGCTGTTATAAGTGTGGATTATGGTTCAATCGGTAACACTTTTGAATCAGAACTTTTCTTTTTCTACAGAAATAGTTAGAATAAGATGAAGTTCTTACCTCCAAGTATACAACATATACTTGGTTAGCAAAAGCTACTATTAGCAAACCCCAGATTACTTGGCTTCCCCTAAGAATAACCAGCAGGAAAAGAAGTAGTAAATAGATAATCGTGGGAATGAGATTTTAAAAATCTTCTAATGCAGGGGTGCCTGGGTGGCTCGGTCGGTTAAGCATCCGACTTTGGCTCAGGTCATGATCTCACTGCTCGTGAGTTCGAGCCCCGCGTCGGGCTCTGTGCTGACAGCTCAGAGCCTGGAGCCTGCTTTGGATTCTGTGTCTCCCTCTCTCTCTGACCCTCCCCCATTCATGCTCTCTCTGTCTCAAAAATAAATAAACGTTAAAAAAAAAAAAATTTTAGAAATCTTCCAATGCAATTAGAGATTATATTAAGGAATTGTGAAGTCAGTTTTTAAGGCTTCCAATCAATGTTATGAAGCTAAGATTAAAATTTTACTAACCAGTACAAGCCAACAAAAAACACAGGCAAAGCTGTGGTGCTTCCAGACTGCCTGGTAAGTCTAGATTCAGGAGCTGAAATATTCCTTTTCTTCAGTTCTTCTACCAGTAGCCCCATGGGATTTATTATCTTCCAAATCTCAAAGAGTTCTTTTCCAGTCATCTGAGTAATTAAGAAGTCCTGCGCATAAAAATATAATTTATACATTGAAATTAGTATGATGAAAACAAGGACCATAATTCAAAGTACTTTTAAGAGAATTTAAAAACTTACTGGGAATTGAAAAAGACAAAATGTACTATTCTTTTTCATTTCTGTGTAGTTTTTCACGTAAGTTTTACTACAAAAATCATAGTTGTCGCAGACGACATGATACTCTATGTAGAAAACCCAATAGATTCCACCAAAAAATTGCTAGAACTGATACACGAATTCCGTAGTCACAGGATACAAAATCAACATATAGAAGTGTTACATTTCTATACACCAATAATGAAACGGCAGAAGGATAAATCAAGGAATCAATCCCATTTAAGATTATACTGAAAACTGTCAGGTATCTAGGAATAAACCTAACCAAAGAGGTAAAAGATCTGTACTCTGAAAACCATAGAACACTTATGAAAGAAACTGAAGATGACACAAAAAAATGGAAAAACATTCCATGCTATGGGTTGGAAGAACAAGCATTGTTAAAACGTCTACACTACTCAAAGCAATGTACACATTTAATGCGATCCCTATTGAAATACCACCAGCATTTTTCACAGAGCTAGAACAAATAATCCTAAAATTTGTATGGAATCACAAAAAACCCCAGAAAACAAAGCAATTCTGAAAAAGAAAAAGCTGGAAGCATCACCATTCCGGACTTCAAGCTATATTACAAAGCTGTAGTCATCAAGACAATATGGTACTGACACAAAAAGAGACACACGTATCAATGGAATAGAAGAGAAAACCCAGAAATGGACCCACAACTACATGGTCAACTAATCTTCAACAAAGCAGGAAAGAAAATCCAATGGAAAAAAGACAGTCTCTTTAACAAATGGTGCTGGGAAAACTGGACAGCAACATGCAGAAGAATGAAACTGGACCACTTTCTTACACTATACACAAAAGTTAAGTACAGGCAACAATCAAAATCCTAGAGAAGATCACAGACAGAAACCTCTTTGAATCTGGCCATAGAGACTTCTTACTAGATACATTTCTGGAGGTAAGGGAAACAAAAGTAAAAATGAACTACTGGAACCTCACCAGATAAAAAGCTTCTGGGGCGCCCGGGTGACTCAGTCGGTTAAGTGTCAGGCTTCAGCTCAGGTCATGGTCTTGAGGTCCGTGAGCTCAAGCACCGTGTCGGGCTCTGTGCTGACAGCTCGGAGCCTGGAGCCTGCTTCAGATTCTGTGTCTCCCTCTGTCTCTAACCCTCCCCGACTCACTCGTGTACTCGTGCACACATACGTGCACGCACGCTCTCTCTCTCAAAAATAAACATTAAAAAAAATTAAAACAAAAAAGATAAAAAGCTTCTGCACAGCTAAGGAAACAATCAACAAAACTAAAAGGCAACCTTCAGAATGAGAGAAAATATTTGCAAATGACATATCTGATAAAGGGTTAGTATCCAAAATCTATAAAGAACTTACCAACAATACCCAAAACACAAATAATCCAGTTAAGAAATGGGCAGAAGACATGAGCATTTTTCCAAAGATATATACAGATGGCTAACAGTCACATGAAAAGATGCTCCGTATCACTCATCATCAGGGAAATACAAATCGAAACCACAATGAGATACCACCTCACGCCTGTCAGAATGGCTCACATTGACAACTCAGGCAACAGGTGATGGTGAGGATGCGGAGAAAGAGGAACCCTCTTACACTGTTGGTGGGAATGCAAACTGGTACACCTGCTCTGGAAAACAGTGTGGAGCGTCCTCAAAAAATTAAAACTATTACTACCCTACGACCCAGTAATTGTACTACTAGGTATTTACCCAAAGAATACAAAACTGCTGATGTGAAGGGGGACACCCCGATGTTTACAGCAGCACTATCAACATCAGCCGAACTATGGAGAGAGCCCAAGTGTCCCTAGATTGATGAAGATGTGGTATATATCTGCAAAGCAGTATTACTCAGACGTCAAAAACAATAAAATCTTGCCATCTGCAACAACGTGGATGGAGCTAGAGTGTATTATGCTAAGGGAAATGAGTCAGAAAAAAACAAATACCACATGATTTCGCTCATATGTGGAATTTAAGAAACAAAAGACAAGACCGTATGGGGGACAAAGAAGCAAACCATAAAACACTCTTAACTACAGAGAACTAGCTGACGGTTGCTGGAGGGGAGGTGGGGGAGATGGGTTAAATGAGGGATGGGTAGTAAGGAAGGCACTTGTCAGGATGAACACTGGGTGTCATATGTAAGTAATAAGTCACTAAATTCTACTCCTGAAACTATTACACTATATGTTAAATAGAATTTAAATAAAAACTTGAAGAAAAAAATAAAAATAATAGTTGAAGGTGAAATCTTATCTTAGAAATATATCTTTATCAGTAAGAAAAAGATTTTTAAAGCAAATGAATTAATGAATAAATGGTAGAAACTTCCAGCAGAAATTCGTTTAAGAAACTACTATGGGAGGCAGCTGGTGGCTGTTAAGTGATGCTTCAGCTCAGGTTATCATCTCAGGATACTGAGATCAAGCCCTGGGCTCTGCACTGGTTGTGGAGCCTGCTTAAGATTCTCTCTCTCCTAGAGCACC